TTCTTGTCATTTTCCTTATCTTAGAAGTAGTTTAACATAGATTTATATTTCGAAGTATTTATTTTCAACATTTTTTTTTTCAAAACATTTCTTCATTTTCGAAGCATAGGAGTAGAGGTAAGTAATTATTACTTTGATTGTTCACTTAATCGTCTTTCTTCGTCTTCTTCATTCTTCTTTTAAATTTTCTTTTCTCTACACTTGGCAATTTTAAAGTCTTCTTTGTTGAGGCAAAAGAATCATCAATGCAATCGTTTGATAATTAGCTTGAATTTAATCTGTAAGGATTTTTCAATTCTTGCTGGCACACTCGCATTTATGGTATTTTCCTTCACAGAAAAAATATGCCAACAGTCGGACTTTCGTCTTATGGTCACCAGAGACTCGTCGGAATGTTTAAAGTATTGCTAGAGTGTTTTGAATATCATTGAAAGCTGCCAGAATGTCCAAAACGTTAGTTGGACATTAAGAATATCATCAGAGACTCACCGGAATGTCCAGAATATTATCGGGAAAAAAAGAATAAAAGAAATAGAGAAATTAGAGTGAAAGAAACATAACAAAATGTACAAACTATTGAAAAACTAAAAGGAAAAAAAAAGGTAACAACAACGAACAGTAATAATGGGAAAAAAATGTTATTTTTTAATTTTGTAGGGTTTAAGCAAAGAATTTTCAATATTGATCAAATTGATAAGTAAGCTTTGAAACTGTAAAATGTTGCAGTCTCAAACCAAAAATCTATTAAACATTTATCATTATTAATCAAACTGAAAAATATATTATGAAACTATAAAATTTTATAATTCTAAAATATGTTATGAAAGTGCATAATTTTATAATTCTAAAAAATGTTATGAAACTGTAAAATTTTGTAATTTTAAAACATGATTTATTTCAGCATAAAAAAAATTAAAAATGTAAAATTTTACAATTTCCATTGCCTGTAATTAAAATTCAAAAATAACTTGTTCATAATTTGAAAATTTTCTATATTAAAACCGGAAAAAAGAATGCTTGTAGTAGAGAAAATGTAGAATAATTGAAAGATCAAATGAGAGAAACAAATATAAAGAAATGATTATATTTTGACAACTATTTTTTGTTTAGATTTAGTCAGATCTGATATAGATATACTCATCTTCTTTGCTGAAAACTCATATCCTTCGTCGTCAGTGAGAGTGAAATAAGGAGTCTGAGGTCAATGGTTGTCGGTAAATCCCAATTGATGGTGGTCGTCAATCACTAATGACTATATATCAGAAAAAAAAAAGAGAATAAGTAAGACATAGTCGCCAGTTACTAGTAATCAAGAAGAGAAAAAGACAAAAAAGAACGAGGATGGAAGAAAAAAAAAATACAAAACTTTAGGATATAAACAAAAAAAATTGTGAAACTAATAAATTATACTCCTTTTAAAGAGGACTGGTTAGTAATTTGTCGACAATATTATTTTAACCACTTATATTTTATGATGTAAGGGTGGTGGGAATTTTTTCTGGCCTTATCTCTTATGCATCTATTTCAAACTTTGACTTGAAAATGAAAGTTTTCTCTTTCATCCATCTACTTTTGTCAATTGGCAAAAATCCATCTACAGTATTTATATTCGACTGATTGCTGTTTTGAGAAAATAGTAAAAAATTAATTTTTTTTACTTTTTAAAACTTTTTTATGTAAAAAAATAAAGAAATAAGTGCGTTGAGTTTAAGTTTTTTGAATTAAGTTTTTTGAAAATTGAATTTTTTGATTTTTATGTTTTTTATTTTTATTTTTAGTGAATATTTTAAAATTTAAATATTTTTTTTATTTTTTTAGATGCACCTTACTTTGATGTATCTAAAAAGTAAAAAAAATTGTGAAAAAATATTTTAAAAAATTAATAAATACATAAAAATATAAAAAATGTAGTGAATTCTTGTATTTTTTTTTATATTTTTGGTATTTAATGAATTTTTAAAAGATCTTTTTTTCAATTTTTTTTACTTTTTAGGTGTATTTTTGTTAGCTGTGCCTAAAAAGTAAAAAAATTACTTAAAATATTAAAAAAATTCAGTAAAAACAAAAAACATGAAAAATAAGAAAATAAAATTTTCTGAAAAGTATTTTTGAAAAAATAAACAAATCAAACCTCTTTTCCAAAACTATTTTCAAAACTCTTTACCAAACAAATTTTCTACACTCAAATCATAATTCCACAACACACAAACTCAAAATACAACTCATACTCTCAAATCACATTTACAAGACACTACCGAACGCTATCTTAATCTTTCCAAATTGTCCCAAATTGTCGATTTAAGTGTACAAACCCTATTGAAAGATATATAATTGAGACACTTGCTCAATGTACAAGTTACAATGACAATGCATTCCAAACACCGTTAATCAAAACAGGAGAAATTATTCAATACTCTCAACACATTCCTCAATTTCATCTACTAGGGTTTGTCAAGAGACGGGGGGGTTTGTGAAGTTTTGGATTTATTGGAGCCATGATGACAAAGTATGTTTTTAAGCAAGTGACAAGAGTCTCAAACTGGACAATCAATCAGTATGTCACCATTTTAGGCACATTATGTTTTGGCAGCCGCCATTTTTCACCCTTTTTTTTTTTTTTAAACCTTTTTTTTTTTTTTTTTTTTTGGACAAATTACATATATCCCTTGAGATTTAATTAAATTATAAATATTTTTGAGATTTGAAAAATTATAAATTTTTTCTTGAATGCTTTATTTGCATAATAAATTAGGGAATAATTTATTATGAAATATAAATTACAGGGGACAAATTGTTATGAAAATATATATCTTAGGAGGCGGGATGTAATTTTCGAAACTTTAAAAGAATATATAATTTAGCTAAATTTCGAGGGAGTAATTTGCCCTTTTTTTTTCCTTTATGAGCATAGTTTGTGGATATCCATTCTTTGATTTGGATAATCAACAATAGGTTTGAATATTTACATGTGATAAGTTTCACGTATAATATAATACTCGTTATTTATTTTATTTTGTACAAATTTTTTATATTTATAGTATAGCTGCTCATAAATTATTATTTCTTTCTTAAGAATAACACAACATAATAGGGTTTAAGCTAAATTTTTATTTAAGGTTGGTATAATACAAAAAGTCAAAAAGTCATTATTCTATTTAAGTCACATCATCTTATTTAAATCACATCACCTCTCTAACACATCACATCAAACTCAATCCAAACTCAATCCAAACCTAACCCAAACCCAACCCATATGAGCCAATAAGTCAAAAAGTGTACTTTTTTAGAACATCCCAAACCAATCCTAATAAATTGCTTGTTGAGTTGGGCCTCTACATGGAGATGGTGTCACTGCTGTACTTTATGCATAGCGGTGATTGTTATTCGGTCCGTATGACTCGTTTCAGATTTTATGCCTTATTTGGGGTACTCTATTTTAGTTCATCTTTTTATCTTTTTTGAGTCACATCAATCAACATCTCCTCTCTACTTTTTTACACATTTTTTTTATAAAAAGCCAAAAAGTACACTTATTTAGAACATCTCAAACCACCCCTTATTTTGATTATTTGAACAGTTTTAATTTTAGGAAATATAGAGAAGAATATATCTATAAAAAATCAAATTAATCAAACATCGATAACTCTATCACAGCACATCTATATATAAAAAATGAATAAGTATGTATCAAACTGAATAAAAATGTGATTTGATGAAGGAATTATCGATATCTAATTAATTTAATTCTTTATTAATATTTTTTAAAATTTAAACAATTTAAATTATAAAAATAAAATTTAAAATGAATCTCACGGACGGCAGGACAGTCACCTCTACGCATCAAGTAGACCAGTGACCTCAAATCCCCTTCTTATACTGTACCAGGATCCTCTTAAGTTTTCCCCCTGAAGTGATCCCCGAAGTGGGGTGATCCAACGACTCAAAATATAACTAACCAAAACGACGTCGTTTTGGTTAGTAATTTCAAAAAAATAAAAAATAAAAAAATTGCTTTCATTCAAAATTCCAATTATTCCTTTCAGTATGACAGAGCTGTGTGGCGGAAGTGTGAGAAAGAAAGAAGAAGACAGACAGAGAAGAGAGGCGGGAGTGTCGTCCAGTTGTCGCCGCCATAGCTGAGGTGTGGGAACATTTTATTCATCCCTTTTGAATACAAATTCTGTACATGGTTGTACAAATCTATACAAATCTGATGATGTATTTTTAACATATATATTTCATTAACATATATATTTCTGTTGTTGATGATGTATTTTTAACATTGTACAAATCTATACATATATAATCCTCCAATCTCTGCACTTTATTTTATTTTTATGGAAGCAACCATGATTTTCTTGGTTGAACTAGCTATACATATATAATCCAAAAACCATGGCTCCTCTCTTCTTTCAGTTCACTACCATGAAAACCAACACACATACATACTTCTATTTGTATACATTATTTAATAACGAAGTATCTTTGACTGCTCCATTATATGTTGTGCATACAAAGAAATTAGCAATTCATTGGATTTTGATCTTCTTTCACTATGTAATATTAAAACCCAAAAGATGTAAAAAAAAATTGCATTCCTTTAATGTTATATGTTATGTCTGGAGTTGCATTTTACATCATCAGATGGAATGTGCATTGGGGCTTTTTAGTTGTATTATGTTAATTTTTCTTATGTTATTTTTCAAACATTTTAGATCTCTTACATTTCATTTATCCCTTTATTTTGTTTGTTATTATTGTTTAATTTTGATGTTGTACGTTCACATGTTGATTATAAGAAAATTAAGGAATCTGTGTTAAATCTAGATCATTGAAAACATAATTTACCATTGAAGGGATTTGTCCCCCTTTGTTTATATAATCTAATATGATTCAATTCTTGTAGTATTTTTATTTAGTTTGTATTATTTTGCAAACATAATTTACAGTTTTTATGCTAATATTGACCATTTTTTTTTTAAGTGACTTGGCACATTGATATGGAACCTAACAATGTTGAGAATGATGGGGGTGATTGTGATTGGAAGCTTAGAGTTCACATGACATTTGATACAGAACAAAAAGCATATAATTTCTATAATGCTTATGAAGGAAGGCTGGGTTTTAGTATTAAAAGGAGTTATGTAAACAAGAATAAGGAGGGGCAAATCACTTCAAGGCTATTTGTTTGTAATAAGGAGGGGTTTCGGGGTGTCGACAAGCGAGATCCATTAACAAAAAATCCTAGGCAGGAAGTAAGGACTGGTTGTCAAGCCCGACTTATCATTAAGTGGGATAGGAATATTCATAAATTTTTTGTTGGTGAGTTTATTGAACAACATAATCATATTTTTGTACCAACAGAATGTACGCATATGTTACCATCCCAAAGGAAGATATCTGCATCACAGACAACCAAAATAGATTTAGCCGAAAAATCTGGAATCCGGCTTAATACTACATTTGAGCTCATGGGTAATGAAGCTAGTGGAAGGGAGTCGCTTGGGTTCACAAAAGTGGACCAAAAAAATTATTTAAGAACAAAGAGGCAAAAGAGTTTAGCATATGGGGAGGCATGTAGCATTTTGCAATATTTTCATGAGAAGACATTGGAGAATCCATCTTTTTTTTACTCAGTCCAATTACATAGTGAGGAGCAGATTACAAACATATTTTGGGCCGATGCTCAGATGATCATGGATTATGGGCAATTTGGTGATGTTGTGACTTTCGACACTTCTTACAAGTTAAATAGTGCACATAGACCATTTCGTCTTTCGTTGGATTTAACCATCATAGGGAAACTGTTATATTTGGCACAACTTTGATGTATGATGAGACTACTGATTCTTTTATATGGCTTTTAGAAGATTCTTGGAGGCAATGTCAAGTAAGGCTCCGAAAATAATTTTTACGGATCAGGATACTGCAATGGCTAAGACCATACCTATTGTCATGCCTAATACAAAACACCGCCTTTGCACTTGGCATTTGATGCAAAATGCATTAAGGCATGCAAATTCTATCTTCAAGGATAAGGAGGTAAAGGATAAGGAGATGAAGAGTGTTTTATCCAAATTTATGTACGACATTGAGGATGAGGATGATTTTATATTAAAATGAGAGGAAATGCTTGACAAGTATGAAGTGCGAGATAATCATTGGTTGAAGTTAACATTTGGGGTCAAGGAAAAATGGGGTTGGCCATATGTTAGAAATGCATGGGGTGCGGGTATGAGTAGCACCCAACTTAGTGAATGCTTTAATGCATTCTTGAAGGATTTTATTCAGTCTGATCATAACTTAATGCAATTTTTCATGCATTTTGATCGAGTTCTTTGTGAGAAGACGTACAAAGAGTTACAAGCCAAATATGCTCTATGCCAAAAGTTGCCAAGGGTGAATATTAAAGTGAAGATTATGGAGCAAGCTACAGATGTTTACACAAATAAAATTTATGAAGAATTTCAAGATGAGTATGTCAAGTCCCTTGAAGTAAACATTGAAGAAACTGAAATTTGTGGTGAGAGTACCATTTATACGGTTCTTGATAGTGATAGTGTAAAGGTGAGGAATGTGAGAGTGGAGTGTGATGGTTCACTCACTTGCAATTGTAGGAAGATTAAAATGAAAGGCATTTTGTGTAGTCATTGTTTGAAGATCCTTAAAGAGACCCTCAAATTCAAAGAGATTCATTCCCAATATACTCTCAAAAGATGGACTAAAAAAGCAAGAGCTGAAAATATGAAAGATAGATGTGGGCATGATATTAAGGTTGATGTAAGATTGTATCAAACTTCACGCTTTAGATCATTGATGGCAATTTTCAGAGCAATAGCGTGTAGAGCTTCCGAAAATGAGGAAACATATAACTTGACGGTAGAGAAAGAGGATGACTTAATTGCAAACATTGAAAGCATGTTAAGCGCAAAATTCAATATGCCTTTTTCAGATACTATTGAACAAGAAAGCCCTCCTGACACATGCCTCGAAAGCTTTGAAGTGGATGGTGTAGCGGATACAAATGTAGTTCAAGCAAAAGGACTCAAACGAAAAGAGTGCACTAGCAAGGAACGAAGGCAGACAAAAGGTGGTTTGGAGCTTGTGTTGGCAACGAAAAATAAAACAAGTTCACATAACGCTTCTCAAACTCCCATGTCTGTTGTTCCTCGACCTAGTTCACATAATGCTTCTCAAACTCTCATGTTTGTTGCTTCTCAACCTCCTCCCTTATTTTCGGCGAGTGCTCCTGAACCACCTCCCTTGTTTTCCCCGAGTATTCCTCAATTAGCTCCTTTATTTTCAATAAGTGCTCCTCAACTTCCTCCATTCTCGACGTGTGTTCCTCAAGTTAATGCTTCGTCTTCTCAATTTATGTATCTCGCCTATGATATAAGTTAGTTTAATAAGAAGTTTTATTATGTTTATTTGTAAATATTTTGTACCATTTTAAATTGATATGTGTTTGTTATTGTTGCAGCCAAGTTTTCTTTGTCACAATATGTCTTTTTCAATGCCATCGATGTATTCCGTCCATGGAAGCTATCAAGCCTTGCTTAACAATGCAAGCGGTTATGACTCGCAAGCCTCGAATAGTCCTTCATGTAGTCAAGTAATTTATTTTTCACTTTTCCTCTTTTATTTTGCCATTCATTCATTTAAAGTTCCATTTTATTTTATGGTTCCTTTTATATATTTGTTTTCTTTTTTAGGTACTATATGGATCACACGTCAATATTGTAGCGTTGATTTTTTTTGTTGGATATGTAATATTGAATACTTTCATGTGAATGTAGAAATTTGTGAAATTTTTAAACTTTTTTGTTGGATATGTAATATTGAAGACTTGATAGATTTTGGTGCTAAAATTTGTGTTGATATGTTTGTGAAATTTGTGCTAATACGTTGCTGAAATATGTGCTGAAATAATGCTCAAATTTGTGCTGATATGTTGCTCAAATTTGGTTGAAATGGTGCAAAAAATTTGTGCTGATATGTTGCTAAAATTTGATTGAAATGGTGCTCAAATTTGTGCTGATATGTTGCTGAAACTTGTGTTGATATGTTGCTGAAATGGTGCTCAATTTGTGCTGATATGTTGCTGAAATTTGGTTGAAATGATGCTCAAATTTGTGTTGATATGTTGCTGAAATTTGTGTTGCTGAAATTTGTGTTGATATGTTGCTAAAATATGTGCTGAAATGGTGCTCAAATTTGTGCTGATATGTTGCTGAAATTTGATTGAAATGGCGCTCAAATTTATGTTGATATGTTGCGGAAATTTGTGCTGATATGATGTTGAAATATGTGCTGAAATGGTGCTCAAATTTGTGCTGATATGTTGCTAAAATTTGGTTGAAATGGTGCTCAAATTTTGTTGAAATGGTGCTCAAAGTTGTGTTAAAAATTGTGCTGAAATGGTGCTCAAATTTGTGCTGAAATGGTGCTCAAATTGTTACATGTGTTCTAGAGAAAGGATTATTTCACCATTCACCAATGACAGATTGATTGATTTCCCCCCCTCCCTAAATCAACTCAGACCAACTTTGTTGAAAAAAACTATACCCCTAATCAGTCATGAGAACATTGTAAATTTACCTATGTGATTTCTTTCTACACTCGTCAAACGTATTGAATTTAATTTTTTTTTTTAAATGTACTCAACTAGGGAAGTGGTGTTGTGATGTCATTAAGGTTTCTTGTTCTTCTCATTTCATCACCAAATAAAGAGAACACTAATAAGTTCCTTCCAGTACATTTCTATTCCTTCAATCCCAGCATACAAAAACCACCTCATAGAATAACAAATGCATAACCTAATCCCCAAATGATGAGGATTTTACATAAACTAAAAGCACAAAAAACAGTAACATACCATACCAACAATCCAAACAAACAAACAAAGTCAACAACCAACTTAATTTACACATAATATTTAGTTCACAAAAGGCGAAGTTCAAATCCGAATTTAAATTACACTTAATATTTAAACAACAAAAGAAGTTCAAATCCAAATAACATTATTACAATGGCGTAGTGCAACTTTTTCGAAGTTGTCTAATCTCTACAACCATTTGTTTACTTTCTTTCGTCAACTTTCTAACCATCTCTTTCAGCTCATCATTGGATACAATCAGTTCGTCGACCAAAGGGTTAATATTACAATTTTCGTCGCTTTCCTCCCTTATCATCTTCAACCATTGACGCTGCTTACGTACAGGCATCCACCACTTAAAGAAGCCGCATCCATTGGTGTTATTTAAAGGGCAAGCAAAGTATACCATCCCTAGATTGTCCTTTGACTCTGAAATCCTGAATGTTGCTCCCACCTCGCAACGACATTTTCGATTTCTAAACTGAATTTCACTAATATCACTCACAGATGCATTTGATGTTGATATTTTTTTACCTGACATAACAACAATAGAACAACAATAAGTAGGACTCAAATTCTAAATCACATGAAATGGGTAATGAGAGTGAATCCTGCCATCTATAAAGGTAAATAAGTACATGAAATGGGTAATGGGAGTAAGGAATTTATAAATATTGAGTCAAGCAAATCTCAAGTAAAATAATATCGTGTAACACAATGATAACATAATCTATATCATCAATCAGATTTCTCCATCTGATTTGGGTTTTTCCTCAAAATAATACACTACAATTACTTTTAAGAACTACATGGTACACTAAAGATCAATTATCAAATTAGCTCCACAAGAAAATAAAATAACAGTTTTGATATTAAAAAAATAAATTTTATAAGGGAATGTGATTAAATCCACAAGAATAATCCCAACAAAAGTTTCAGCATAGAAAGTTTCATCACCATCAAACCATTCCTCGTTCTGTTAAATGACCTTAAGTTGCCAATGTAACTGGAGAAACAAACAAATTATAACTAAACTCCATACTAGAGCACATTGCCAGACTTCATTATAAGAAACAAATCCAATTTAAGCAATCCCAATCTATAGAACCCACCAAGATTTTGGCACAAAATGTTACAAACTTTACAGCTTTATCCTAAATCTAATCCACATAGTTCAAATTAACAACTAATCCAGGCACAACCTCATATCAAAGTAATCAGATTCACAAAGATTTCATAGCTGAACCTCACAGCAACAAAGTCAACGCCGCAAACACAAAGGGTATACACACCCAATCCAAACTCAAATCATAAAATTAACAATATAACATCAACAAGAGCGCAATTAACCAAATGGGTCACCATCAATTCAACTTTGGATTAACAAAACACTACATACACAAAGATTCTTGTATAAACTAATCCAGAAGTAGAATTAGATACTCACGCAAAGGGAGAGGGCTCAACAAAACAAACACATCATAAACTTAATCAATAATAACTAATATGTTTAGGCTGATAATTGAGCTTAAGCAGAAGAATCAGTAATATGGTTCATGTTGACTACTTTAACAAGGATTGATTTTGGATTAAAACCTCAAATGGAGCAAAATATAAAATGTGTTGAATAAACACCATTTGTAATAAACATCACGATCACATTTAGAATGGCAGAGTGTACCTCAGATCCAATTTTGCTTTCCTAGCTAATGTAAGGTTTTGATTTAAAGAAATCAAAGAACCAATAAAGCAAAGAACACACGTTCAGATTTTGCATTTACAGAGAACACACATTCCCTAACACCAAATAAACAATCCCTAGTGCTCACATTTGCAGAGATAAATAAACATATAATCAATTCACATTTCTTTATTAAACCAGATTTTCTTGAAAACACGAAGAAGAAAATTAAAGAAACTTTAATCAAAGTCAACATTGACATCCGGTAGCCAAGTTCAGATTTTCCCTAATTTTTGGATTCAAAGCCCTAATATTTTAAGTTTAAAGGATGAACGAACCTGTGCTTTTTTCCTTCAATCTGTTGGAGTATGGCGGGCAGTGGCGTGGCAGCGGCGAGTCGGGGGTGGATCGGAAGCTCCTCCTCCCAGCCCTTTTCGTTCTCTCTCTCTCTCTCTCTCTCTCTCTCTCTCCCTCTGTAATGCTTCACATATCAGATCTGAGGGAATTTTGAATGAAAGCAAATTTTATTTTATTTTTTGAAATTACTAACCAAAACGACATCATTTTGGTTAGTTACATTTTGAGCCATTGGATTAGCCCACTTCAGGGATCACTTCAAGGGGGAAACTTCAGAGGATCCTGATACTCTCATACTTATTAGTTGGCTGTTCTTAGGGATTTGGATGAATTGAGAGGGAAAAAAACAAAACAAAACGTAATGAAAGGGTTGTCATTATCCATAATAAACACACAATAAGAATTATGTGTTTCATGTCGAGGTGGCAAACATAACGTGAAACCATGAATCTATCTAATTTTACGCATTTAATTTTATTTAATTTCATAAATAGATTGCATTTTGAAAATCCATTTAAAATTAAATTTAAATAGCTTAGACATTGGTATTTATTATTGTCAGTTGGATCTGGGTTAAAAATAAGTAACAAACCCACCACCCACATCTTAGGGAAAGGATTCAATAAAAGTTTTTAATTGATAAATTTATCACTGTAAATTTATTTATAAAAATAAAGGAGACTGATAAATTTATTAACAAAACTTAATGGATAATAAATTTCAAAAGTAGGAGTTATTGGTAATTTACCCTTATGGGATATGCTACTCAATGTGTTCTAAAAAGTGAATGGCTCAGATTATTTAAATAGGACCTGGAGTGGGCCCCATTGAACTCACAATAATGACTATTGTGCAAAGGCACAACATCCATCCTTTATCTTGTACACATGACATCACCAACCAATTATAACCTAACACATGATTAAGTAAACCCTTACCCACCTATTAATTGTAATCAACTGCTCATATCATTGTTATAATTTCCATATAACTTCTATGTCATCATAGTTAGGTTGGGATCTATACATAGTGAATATTGTAAGTAAAATTAACAGTGGCAAAGATCGATAATCCCATGAAGGTGTTTATCAAACAAGAAGAATATACAATCCAGAAGTGAAAACAAAGAGAGAAAATAATTAACAATTCCAAGTGGTTTGTTCCATTGTTTCAGCCATCTATTTATAACTTACGTGATGTCTCTTTATCAATGGTTACAACCATTGGTATTGAGTCTCCAAACCCAATAGTCACAATGTTTCAAACATTGTGTCCTTATATTTCAAATACAAACACCTTCCAGATTTATTTCTTCTTGTGGAAAGGTATATGAATCACCACTTATGTAGGCTATGATTCGGTGTGAGAAGGTCTACCATATTATGGTGTGAGCACCTCTCATACCTTCATCTTCCAATTGATCACACTATAATATTAGTGATAAAACCTTACTTGGGCACGTTTACCTTGGTACCAAAATTTTGCCTCATGTCAATTTTCATCTATGAATTTACCTCATAGATCAACGTCTGATTGTGACTTGGCTATACGTGAGCACATTTTTGCCACCAATCTGACTGCACCCGTACGAATGTGTTCTCCCTCTGACAACACACTCTAGATGATTACAATTCACTATATTTCAAGTGAACGACATCAATTTTCAATGTTAGGTTCATAGTCTATAAACAATCACCATTGACGACTTCAGCTGCACACATTCCTCATGTGTCGACTTGCGCCGAAATTATTGTTAAGTACTTCCTCTAAGGCCCATTCCTGAAGGTTTTCCTTAACACACCTTATCAACGACTTTTGTTGATCAAGCAGACAACATCATCTAGTCAGCATGTTGCATATCATAGATTTTACATCTCATGCTAACTATGATGCCTGTACCTTGTCAGTTCTTCTACCTTATTACCTGACCACACACATGTTTCCATGCAAGATAGAGTCGCATAACATCGGTTATCCAGGTGTCCCCGGAGTCATCCGACTATGCTCTTATATAAGTAGCTAAACCACCTAGCTAGGCATTTTTCAATCCCATATTAACCACATGTTCTCTGAATTTTTTCAGAGACAACCCTTTGGTCATAGAGTCGGCCATCATCTCTTCTAATGGTATATAGTCGACTTTAATTTCTCATATCTCTACTATATCATGAATACATTTATAATTTACATTAATACGGTTTCCCTTAGAGTTATACGCTCCATTTTTTATTAATAAGATGGTAGACTGATTGTCACAAAAAATATTGACCGGTCTGGCAGGTATACCTAATTGTAAACTGTCAATGAATCACTTTATCCAGATAGCATTGCTAACTACTATGTTGCAAGCTATGTACTCAACTTCCATAGTACATTTTGCAACATAATTTTGTTTCTTACTTAACCAAGAAACTATTGTTCCACCAAACAGGAACACATGACCACTAGTAGATTTTCTATCATTTACATCTCTTACAAAATCTGCGTTAGTGTAGCATTTTATTTCTAGATCACACAAACCAAAATATAACTTCAAATTCTTAGTGCCTTTTAAATATCTGAATATTCTTTTGACTGCTTGCCAATGTTCCTTACTTGGATTGGATTTAAACCTACTTACCAATCCTATTGCATAACAGATGTCAGATCTTGTGCTTGTCATAGCATACATCAGGCTGCCTACTGCCTGAGCATATAAGACATCTCATATTTCCTCAATTTCATATTTATTTTGAGGACTCAAACTTTTATTGAGACTTTGTCTCTTGCAAATAGGTGTGCTTAAAGAATTGCAACTATCCATATTAAATCTTTTGAGCACTTTTTCTAGATATTTCTCTTAATTAAGATACAATAACTTTGAATTTTTATCTCCTGAAATTATAATTCCCAGAACATATGTTGCAAAACCCATGTTTTTCATTTCAAATCTAGATGCCAAGAAAGTTTTGATTTTCTTAATCATATTTGGACAATCTCTTACTAGCAATATGTCATCCACATACAAAGACAATATTGCTAATTTTTCATCATTTTTCCAGATATAAACACAGTGATCTAATGAACTCACAACATAGCTCATTTCTAAAATGGCTTGGTAGAATTTCAAGTACCATTGTCTTGAAGATTATTTGAGCCCATGTAGGGATCTTTTCAACTTGTAGACTTTATCTTCGTTACCTTGGATTTCGAAACCATCAGGTTACATTATATAAATTTTCTCTTTTAATTCTCTATTAAGAAAAGCTGTTTTAACATCTAACTGATGCAATTTCAAATCCATCCTGGCTACGACGACCATTAGAATCCTTATTGAGGCAAATTTTGCAACAGGAGAATACGTACCTACGAAGTCTACTTCAGATTGTTGAGTGAATCTCTTGCCTACTAGCCTTACCTTGTATTTCTCCAAACTTCCATTTACTTTGAATTTCTTTTTAAGAACTCATTTGCAACCAATGGCTTTTCTTTCATTTAGGAGATCGGTTAATTCCCAAACATCATTTTTCTTGATCGAATCAAATTCTTCATTTATTGCCCGAAGCCATTGAGTAGCGTCACTGCTACTTATTGCTTTATTGTAATTAGTAGGATCATCTACTAAGTTATTGAGTTCCTCAACTTGAAAAACATAATGGTCTTTTAAAACCATAAACGGACGTCTTACTCTCTTACTCTCTCTTATCCCAGGATTCAAATCAGGTAAAACAATATCACTTTGTTTTCTTTTTGTCCCACTATTAGGTTGATTTGTGAGAACTTGTGGTTCTTGTGACAAACAGGGGAGAGAAGAATCCCGAGATATCTTAGAGAGCAATTCAATTTGTTCAATTGGAGTAACAAAATCAATGGTTTCAAGAAAAATAGCATCTCTACTTTCTATTAATCCATGTTCAGGATGGTAAAAACGATACCACTTCCATTTTCGACATAGCTAAACTTGCATTCCCAAGTTTTACTTCCCAAATTTTCCCTTAAAGGTTTAGGAATAAGTACATGTACTTTGCATTCCCAAACTTTGAGATTTAGAATATTAGGTTTAGTATCATTCCAGTGTTCATAAGGAGTTAGAGGTTTGGCTTTTGTTTCAACTCTATTTAATATATACGCAGCAATTGACAAATGAATGGAAAAATCAGTATGTGCCATCATAGACCTTGTCATTTCCATTAGAGTACGATTTCGTCTTTCTGCAATCCCATTTTGTTGTGGAGTGTATGGCGTTGTAAATGAATGTTTTATGCCATTTTTCTTGTAGAAAGAATCCATAGCTTCATATTCGCCATCTCTATCATTATTCAAGTTTTTAATGGACCGGCCAAGTTGCTTTTCTACCTCTAATTTATATTCCTTAAACTTTTCAATTGCCTCTTATTTGTGTCTAAGAAGGTAGATGTGTCAATATCTTGAATAATCATTAGTGAAAGTAATAAAGTATTCCATGTCTCAATGAGTCTTAGTTCTTAAAGGGCCACAAATGTCAGAATGAACTACTTCAAGTAATTCTGATGATTTGAAAATGGCTTGCTAGTTATTTTTCCTTTGATGCATGGTTCATGTGTATCAAAATCAACACTGTAGGCAATAGTCCACTTTTACACATTCTAGAAATTTTATTTTTATTAATGTGACCTAATCCTATATGCTATAAATAAGAACTATTATCAATAGAGACATACAAATAATAAAAAATGCATACTTTCTTATTATCAATAGGAACAAAGTATATGTCATTCACTCTTATACCTTTCACTAATACACTTCCTTTCTTGATCAACACTGTTTCAAACTTAAAATTAATCTTAAAACACTTTTGGGTTAACACTGGAACTGATATTAATTTTCTTCGGATGCTGGGTACATAAAGCACATCATAAAGTATGATGGAAGATCCATTAACAAAGAATTTACAGTTATCGATGCCCAAAACATCATTGTAAGAGTTGTTGCCCATATAGAATTTGTGTTCACCAGTCTTCTTTTCAGTGAAATCCATGAACATTTCTTTGCTTTGCACTATGTGTCTAGTTGCTATAGAATCAATCCACCTTGAATTTGATGAAGGTTCTATTACCATTACTTTAGAAACCGTCATGGCAATGGGGTTATGATGATTCTTTCTCTGCTTGTTCTTAGGGTATATGGCTTTGATGTAACCTTTCTGACTACAATTATAGCATGGACCTAATTGATTCTTATTGTTTTGTTGTTTTTGCCACCCTTGCTGCTTCCGCCACCCTTTTTGGAATCCCTTCTTCCATCGTTTCTTGAAATGAGTAGTCCTACTCTTGTTGAATAGTGTGTGGAAATTATTCTGTGACTGTGTTGAAGATTGTGCCATCAACAAGTTAGAAGAGAATCCTTCTTGGCGCATTCGCTTCATTCTTTCTTCTTCCAAAACTAAGAACCCATGCAAAGTTACCATTGAATCTCTCGTCCGCTATAAGTTAGAGATGTGACAACATGATCTCAAGACAGTGGAAGACTATCAAGTATGGTAGTTACTTGCATCTTGTCTGACAAAGAGTGATTGGCATTGAATAATTCTTTAGCAATTAATTCCATTTGATTAACATGATCACCAACACTGTCATTTTCACTCCTACGAGTATTATTATATTTGTCCAAAAGCACTTGAATTTGAGTGTCTGATCGAATTTTATACTTACTTTATAGTGCTTTCATCAATTGTTTTGCAGTTACATGTTCTTCAAATAGCAAAATAATACTGTCTTTTATATTGTGTAACATGGTTGCCTTTGCCATTGCATCATCCTCTATCCATTTGTTTTGAACCCAATTAGAATCATCACTTGGTTTATAAGTAGATAGAGTATACAAAGTTTTTTCATATCTAAGAAGATAAGAAATGTGTCGCTTCCATACTCGAAAATTATTTCCATTAAGCATATCAATTCTCGAAGCATCAATAGCAATTTTAATTGCCATCACGAAAATGTATACTATTAAATATATATACACATTTGTGGATCCAAGGTTATTAGGGAAAAACAAATATTTTTTATTTTTTATTTTTTTAAGGCTATTGGAGTTCCTTATTAAATTTTGAAAAATTAAGTTTTATTTTATTTTATTTTTGAATGACTCAATTTAACTTTTTAAAAAAAAACCGATAAGAATGAACCAAAATACCAAACCAAAAATAATAATAATAATAAATGTTTTTTTGATTTAGGTTTATATTTTTAATTTAATTTGGTGAAGTTCTTGGTCCTCTACAAGATCATAAACAGAGTGATTTGTTTAGCCCAAATGTGAACCAACAAACGTCTGTGAAGATTTAACAACTTTTGGCTCGGCTTTAGTACCAAAAAAAATGGCTTGATGGCTGGACTTTGTGATTTGGAGTTGGTTTCCTTATTTTTCAAAATGAAGACCAGCCTCTTTTCTCATTCTGGTAATCTTCTCCGGTGAAGGGTTGGGTGACCAAAGACCGAAAGTAGATTATGTACTGGTGGTTTTCTGTCGTTTTTCACCAGGAAAATCACCCTCTCGATTGAAATTTTAATCGAACAACTGAATGGAAGTCACCAAAGTGGGACACTGTTTGTCAATTTGTTCTCAAAATTTTTGGACAAAATAAATTTTGAAAATTTTCTCTAATGGATTATAATTTAACACTTGCGTACTCAATTTAACAGGACTCTGTTATCATTATAAGTAAAATTAACAGTGACAAAGTTCAATAATTCTGTGTGAGTGTTTTATCACATAAGAAAAATATAAAATCCGAAAGTGAAAACAAAGAGAGAGAATAATTAACAATTCTAAGTGGTCTGTCCCATTGTTTCAGCCATCTATTTATAGCTTACATGATATCTCTTTATCAATGGTTACAACCGTGGCGGAGAGAGTAAAGGCCCAGGGGGTCACATGGCCCCCTTGGATTTTGAGATTTTTTTTAAAATTTTTTTTACAAACATAAAGAAAATATTTTAATAGTGAAATTTTAATGACATTTTAAAAATTATTAGAGTGAAATGTTAATGACATTTCAAAAATTATAAGAACAATAATGGTTATTTTAATTGATAATGAAGAGACGACTATAAACCATATTATCTATGAAATTTTTTGAATATAACGATGATGTCATTATTGTTGACATGTAAGTATAAAAGTAATCTCACTATAAAAATATAAAATTTATTAGATTGTTAGTTACATTTGACATGTGAGGTTCACTCTCTATGTATTTATATATACTATTAATTGGTGATATCATATATCAATGATAATGTGGTATTACCATTATATTGAATTTTTAATCAAATTTTGTATAAAAAAATTTATCATTATATAATTTTTTTTAAGACTTATATCCATATTTTTTTTGTATTGTCCATGATACACTATACTTACAAATAACATTATTTTTTTAATATTTCTCGAAATCACTCATAACTTACGTGAAATATTTTTGTAAAATTTTTTGATATTGTAATTAATAAATATCATTTCTAATTTAATTTTTTGACTCCGCTACTGGCTATAACCATTGGTATGAAATCTCCAAACCAAATAGTTCCAATGCTTCAAAGCATAGTGTCCTTGTATTTCAAATCCAAACACCTTCCAGATTTATTTCTTCCTGCAAGAAGGTTTACGAATCACCACTTATGTGGGTTATGATTCGGTGTGAGAAGATCCACCATATTATAGTGTGAGCACCTCTCATACCTTTAAATATGTAGCAACATATTATTAGTTGGTGATATTACATATATATATATATATATATATAATGACATAGTGTCACCGTTATTACAATGAATTTTTTCTCCTTTCTAATTGGTTCTTTCACCATAGATCTTTGAGTCTCCTCACCTAAAAAAGGAATGCACTTTCAGGTGTTTTTTTAATTTTTTTAATTTTTTAAATAAAATTAAATTTGACAACATTAATACACAAAAGCCCAGAAGGCTACTGAGGCCAATTAAAACCCAACATGACGACAGTGCACAAAATTGAGATTGAGGCCCAACTCCAAGCCGGCTCAAAAAAGACCTCTCCTATATAATAGCTTGTAACATACAAATCAATACAACAATCTTGTAACACATCAATCAATCAATAACACATCAAAGTTTTAACAATTACAATGAATTTTTTCTCCTTTCTAATTGGTTCTTTCACCATAGATCTTTGAGTCTCATCACCTAAAAAAGGAATGCACTTTCAGGTGTTTTTTTAATTTTTTTAATTTTTTAAATAAAACTAAATTTGACAACATTAATACACAAAAGCCCAGAAGGCTTCTGAGGCCAATTAAAACCCAACATGACGACAGTGCACAAAATTGAGATTGAGGCCCAACTCCAAGCCGGCTCAAAAAAACCAACTAGCCCGCCCGCTAAAACCGACCCGTATATATGAACGTGCCACGCGCGAATCGAACCCGGTTCGAACCCAACCTACTGGTCAGACCGTTGTCGCTTTCACATCGAATCGAACATCAAATTGCAGGCGACGAACGACTGGTAGACGAAGCAAGCTCTCTCTCTCTCTCTATATACCAACCCAATTAAACCTCATAGAAGCCCCATCAAACTGTAAAATCTATCACACGTTTTTTTAATTTTTGTTTTCACTTGCAATTCTCGCTGCAATGGCTTCTGATTCCAACTCCGACAACGATCCCACACACCAAAACCCTAACCCTAACCCTAACCCTGCTTCAATCGACGTCATCGAAGATCAATTGGCCTCAAGCGAATTGGCTCAATCAACCCAGGTCGATGCATTATCCGAGCAAGAAGTGTTCAATGACGCCCCAAATGGATCGCTTTCTTCAGACGAGGATAATCACCCCGAATCTGAGATCGTAGAAGAGAGTCGTGGTGGGAATTTAGTCAGTGAGTCGTCTGTGGAGGTTGTTGAAATTGTTGAGGAGGTTCGACAGAGCTCGTCTTCGAGTGGTGATGTTGTGCTGAGGAGGACCAATTCGGAGCTCGAAATGGACCAGGCTTCGAGCCCTAGCAGCAGTGGGTATGCTGGTGAGAGAGGGAGCACCAGTTCCGCCAGTGCAATCGGTGTAGATGAAATTTGTGAAGTTGGGAACGACGATTCTTTCAATGAAGCTTCGGGTTCTCCAGAGCCGTGGGTTACAGGGAAGCGTCATGGCGATGAAGTGAGTCAAAAATTTGCCATTTATTTTCTCAATTGTGACAAAGAATTTGACTAGTTGTTGAAAATATTATGGAGAATTATTGTAGGGTTGCATATTGTCTAGTTGTATACTTCAATTCAACTATTGCTAGAATGTTTTTCAATATATTTAAATTTTGTAGTGGGTTTCTACTATCCTTTGAAGTGTATTACAAGTTACCATCCTCCTCCTACAAGTCTTGAATGTATCCTTTGTCAACTTGAATATTAAATGATGTGCTAAGTAGCATAAACACAGACTGAACATGACAAACATGACAAAGACAAGAATATGAGAATATTTTTCTCTTATATGGGTTGATTAATAGTCTAATTTTCTTTATTAGGAATTCCATAATGTGGTCGATGAAGTTCTACTCTGTTTTTTTTTTTTTCTTGTTTTGGCCATTAGTTACTAATAGGATAGTACTTCTGTCATTAGTCATGTCCGCTGTCAGCCTTCATGGGGCATGTATTTGATCACACAGAACCAATCTCGTTTTGATACTACCGCACCGAACAATCTGCTTCTTGTCGCAATCAAATGGGGTAACCATAACGGACAAACGACACTTAGAATGTGCTTCAGTCTCTAACAACTTGAAAATCAAAATGTTTGGTGACACCTTGGGTTTGTTTGATCAGGTTTGGGATGTCAAATGACTTTGGCACATTGTGGGACTCTAGGTCTATTGGGATGGTGGTTAGAGACAAAGGTTTGCTGTAGCACTTTAACCTCACATGGGTCTAATTGCCTTAGGCAAGTTTAATATAGAGAATCTTCTTCGTAATCGGGTATCTCCAGAGACTTTGGATAAGCCTGTTTCCTGGCTTCCAAGGTAGTTTTTCTACTAGAAAGAAGCACATAAAGCCTGTAACAGTTTCTTAAAATTACAGACATGCCATTACATATATGAAATTTTTGGATTTGTGACACCTATAAGATCATGTCATGTTTGATTAATAAATGAAGTGCAGGATGATACTTCTGTTTCGTGGAGGAAAAGGAAGAAGCACTTCTTTATTTTGAGTCATTCCGGAAAACCGATATACTCCAGGTGTGTATCTAGTAGCTACTGGCTGTAAATTTCAGCGTTGTTCTTCTTAATGCATAATGATGGGAATCTGTTTATTGTTTGTTTAGATATATTTTCTGTGTAATATTCCATTTTGCTTTTTTTTCATTTTAACTTAAAGATATGGAGATGAACACAAGTTGGCGGGATTTTCAGCTACTTTGCAAGCTATTATTTCCTTTGTGGAGAATGGGTACATTGATATTATCAGTCATTTTGCTATTTTGTCATGATTACTCTTTTTGAATATGAGCTTATTTTTGGCTTATATTTTCAATGAAGATAACTCTGAATTGGAGTTTCAATAGTTTCCTTCATTGATATATTTTCAGGGGAGATCACATCAAATTGGTTAGGGCAGGCAAACACCAGGTCAACTTATTTCCTGATTAAGCGAGCTTGAACTATTTATTGTTTTATTTTCTGAATTTGGTTATGTTATTGTTGGTGTAAATGATAATCCTAACTTTATTTTCATTATTTATAGTCTTTGGAACATTTTATAAGGAGCTTTAGATTTGTTCCTTTTTACCAAAACATTATTTTATGTGTTGCAATGCTTGTGCATGCATGATGCTATTATTTGAAGCAACTTGAGGTGTAATTTTAGCAAAGCTTAGACTAGCATGTAGTAATTTTTGTTCAGTTGCCGCAGATATTTCTGTTGGTTTTGAGTTCGCAAATTCCTTTTAATTGTTGATAACAAGCAACAACAAAATTTTATTGATAACCCTTTTAATTGTTGATATTAGGGAGCTTCAAGCTCGAGAGAAATTTTCTTCAATAAGCAAGTCTGTTACTCTATCTCATTAATGGAAAATAAAAATTAGCACGATAGCATTCTGTTGCCTTTTTACATGAATTTTAGGCACTGAAGGGGCCATTACTCTCGTACAAGAACCCCGTACTGAACTGGAAAACTATACAAAAACTGCACTCTCATCTTTCACAAAGAATCTGTGGAAGGGCTAATCAAATCTTCATGATTTCTGTGTGTGTGTGTGTGTGAGAGAGAGAGAGAGAGAGAGAGAGAGAGAGAGATCCCTTTATTCTCTGTCTTTCATTGAACTGATAATCATGTATGTCGTGTTTAAGTATAAGGCCATGGCTCCTTGTCTTTATTGGTAAAAGTGCACTTATTTGGCCTTGGGAATATGAAACGGATCGATAAATTACTCTACAATGGATAGTGAAGGTCTAGAAGCATTTCATATGAAATATGCATGACTCTTCATGGGTACCCCTGAGATCATTACCATCATATATATAATATATATGTCATTTTTTATGTTACGTGGATGTGACTGATCTGAGCCGAAATGGGCATATTAATTTCACTTTGGAGATATTATTTTCATTAGTCTCACTTTGGAGATATTAAATGGCCAACACCATTTCAAGCTGTGAAGATGTAGTGCATTTACATATATGAAGAGAGGGGTCACATATGACTTCATTTGCCAGCATAAGTTAATTCAGCCTAAAAAATGCTGCTTGTAGCTTTTGGTATCTTCCTGAAATTGAGAACTTTGATTGCTGTTGAAGGGGTTTGGATCCTCTGTCCCAATTTGCTATCCCAACTTTCTGTCCCATCATCCTCATATTGCATGCATCCTTCATTAAAAGCAATTTTTATTTCGTCAGTGCACATCACTTAAACCACTGAAAACTGTTGTTTTAAAAAGGGGGTGGAGTATGATACCACGTACAATGAAATAGGAGTTTGTGTTTTAACTCTTATGTATTTTTTTATTTGGAATTAATGATGTGGTATTTTGCATCAATAATCATTCATTGACATGGAATTTGTGCACTTTCAGGTGGTTTTTCTTGTGAAAGGACCAGTCTACTTAGTTTGCATAAGCTGTACGGAGGAACCTTATGGGTCATTAAGGGGGCAGTTGGACCTTATATATGGTCAGGTAGCCTTTTTGTCCGTCCATCAGACTTGTTTACCTCACATTTTTTTGCTCTTATTGTGTTCTAAGTACCTGAATCTCTTTGTGGTAGCTGCTCCACTTCCCTCATTTTATTGATTTTTATATGAATGCAGATGCTACTTATTCTTACAAAGTCTGTAAACAGATGTTTTGAGAAGAACCCAAAGTTTGATATGACACCTTTGCTTGGAGGAACAGATGGTGTCTTCTCATCGCTCATCCATTCTTTCAGTTGGTTTGCTCTCTGCTCTCTTTTTACCTGACTACTTTATGAAAAATCAGTTGAGGATCTTTTAATAGCATGTTGATTTAGTTTTTTTTTTTTCCCCCCCAACTTTATAAAAGCGATGATATTGGTTTTTTTTTTACTGTGATTTTGTGAACATTTTCTCCAATCTTTCCCCTCCTTTGAGCGTATTCTTTTTTAGTTTTACTTATTTTAAACCATATTGATACTAAGTTCTCTTTCGAAACTATATCATCGACAAATAACATGGACCAAGAAACCTCATTCTTAATATAATCATGGCTCCATCAAGGCTGCTTGATCAGAAAGGTTAATTATGTTGCAAAATATTTTGACATAGTAAATGTTTTTCAGTAAAATATATTTACTTACGAGTTTATATATTTTGTGAACAATCTAGTGATCTCAACAGTTTTAAAGATTTCCTACCTCTTTCTGATGCAGATATTTAACGGTAATGTTTGAGTTTCCCATAGTGCCCCACTGCTTACAGAGTCCCAACTTCAGATATTTTGTCTCTTGGTTTATGCATCACTGGTGTCTATTGTAAATTCCTGAGAAAGTGAATTCATGCTTTTGTTAATATTATCCAATAGATCATTTCCTCAACAGGTACAGCTGCTCACCTCATCATTGTTGACTTTTGACAGACAGTTTTTTTCTTCACATATTTATTCACCTCCAGTATCTGGAGAGGGTTCTTCCCCTAGCCCTACCTGGAGGTGCTCCAGTGCCAGCCAATTTATTAGGCATATAAAATCTACCAATACTTTTTGTCTGATGATATAATATATTTATTTGAATGTTCTTGGATAAATATTGCTTCAACCAATCATCTTATCGATTATGAGTGCAAATTTGTGTTTAATCGTTCATTAATTGGATTATGGTGCTAAAATTACATCTAACATATCATTTCATGATAAATTTAGCCTGTTACACCTTTATTTTTGGTTCAAGAATTTGCAATTTTTCTCTCTGCATTTGTAGTTCTTTTCTCTGGAGAGGTCTAGATGGCCCTTAAATATATTCAGACAGTTTTCAGGAGATATTTGTTTGTATAATTTATTTCATTTTTCTCAGGATACCTGTAAAATTATAGATTTACTTCAGCGAGATAAATTTAGTAGTTCGTGAACGTATATGTAGTTATTCATTTTTAATTTGGTTGGTTGGTTCCAACAAAAATTTGCTAATTTCTAATTTCAGGAACCCAGCCATCTTTCTTCATGCATACACTTGTCTTCCCCTTGCCTATGCCACAAGGCAAGCCGCAGGAGCCGTATTACAAGATGTTGCTGGTTCAGGTGTCCTGTTTGCAATATTAATGTGTAAACACAAGGTCTCTCTCTCTCTCTCTCTCAAATACTTGGATTAGTCAGAAAGTTTTCTAAACTGAAGCTCAAAATGCAGGTTGTCAGTCTTGTTGGTGCACAAAAAGCATCTCTTCATCCTGATGATATGCTCCTACTTTCCAATTTTGTTATGTCATCTGAATCATTTAGGCAAGTACAATGATCTCCCTAACTTGTATATATGGAAACTGTAACTTGATTAATAAACATGCAAAAATCTTCACTGTTCAATGCTGAAGGAATTAAAAGTTTTGGTATTAATGCAATCACTGTCCATTCAGATTAGTTTCTTGAGAAAAGTTTGTTTAGCTTATATCTTGTCTAATGGACTTATTGACAACCTTGCCACATGCTCTCTCATGCTTCTGCAAATAAATTTTCTTCATTATAAATCCAATAGTCTATAAATTCCATTTTGTGATGCTGTGTTAGGATGATTTGGCACACTGCATCTTGTTTGGTTTGGGACAAGATACGACAATATTTTACTGTAGATCTCAAAAAAGTGGGGAAAAAAAATTAGAGTGATGGTAGCAGAAGTAAATAAAATTACAAAGGTCCATAACATAGATAAAATACACTATCTAATAAATAAAAAATAGACAAGAAATATGTGATCTTGCACTTGTCCTCTTAAATTTTTTTAATTTTGCTTCTCATGATCTCCTTTTGTGTGTGTATTCCTTTATGCTATTGAGCTGTAGGTGGTGGAAGTGAGAAAAGGAAATTAATTGGATTTACTTTCCAATTAGGGGTACCTTGACATGAAATTTGTTCTAACCTGTTAGTGATTCATTTGTTACTTTTCTTTCACTTTTTATTTTAAACATAAAATTCTTTGTTTATCATGGGTTGTCTCTACAAGTTGACACTTCATCATATTTATGCTGATATGCTTTTCGTCTCTAAAAATGATCCCTTACAGTATCAATGCTGGATGAAAATATCATCTCAGTTTCTGTTGAGGCATAGACTGCTTGAGACTCCTGGTGTTCTCTAGGAAATTATCATAATTTTCAAAACTTCTCATACCCCTCCAAGGTTGAGATCTCAACATTTACAAAAATAACAGTGTCATATTTATGACAATGCCACTAGCCCATGCTAATGTGCCAATAAGCCCCATAACACACAATGGCTCCAACTTGGTTTCCAACCCCACTAGAGGCAACTCAATGGTGAAGAGCAAGACTCTTTCATGCAACTCACATCTCGTGACTCATGGGCACAAATCATTGACTCGTTAATGTTTCATGTGATCTTAATACTAATGGACAAAAAAATTGCAGTAGACAACCATATACCCTGGTGAAGTGGAATTTATATTGTCCTTTGTGTGTTTCTTATGTAAATGTGTTTTTTGACTTTGTAAGGCTTTATTAATCTTGTTTTATTGGCTTCGTGCAGGACATCTGAATCTTTCTCACCAATTTGCCTGCCCAGATATAATCCCATGGCATTTTTATATGCTTATGTCCATTATCTTGATGTGAGTGAGTCTTAGATTCAAGCTTATCTTCCCTTGCAAATTCAAATGCATGATTAGCTGGAATATGGTCATTGATTGCAGTTCATATCTAAACTGCATAAATCACTGGATTTCAATAAACAGACATTTTCTTGCATTTGTTTTCCAAACTTCTAGATTGTTCAAGAAATGACATGAATGGTACTTTCTGTGCCAGGTTGACACATATTTAATTTTGCTTACTACCAGTTCAGATGCCTTTTATCATCTTAAAGATTGCAGGTAACTTATGTTTACTTGGTTGATGCATTGAGAGCATTGACGTTATTGTGTTACAATTTCATATTTCAAATTACCATACATTTTCGGCCTGAAACGAAGTCTCAAGTACGATACTATAAAAATGTGACTGGCTATTGTTTTTTCTATGCACCACGAAAGTTTTAATGCTTGGGAATGGATATATCTCTTCCTTTTACTCTTTAGTGTGATTAAGGAATTTAAATACATTTTATAGGATTCGTATCGAAATGGTCCTTTTGAAGTCCAATGTTCTCAGTGAAGTTCAGAGATCCATGCTAGATGGTGGCATGCATGTTGAGGATTTGCCTGCCGATCCATCTCCGCGTTCTGGAACTTCGTCGCCTCACTTAGGTCAGCCCAGATTTTCAACAGACTCACCAGAGGGATTCCGAGAAGCATTTGTTGGTATTGGTGGGCCTGCTGGACTTTGGCACTTCATATATCGTAGTATTTACCTGGACCAGTATGTTTCTTCTGAGTTCTCATCACCAATCAACAGTTCACGACAGCAGAAAAGGTAATACTGGTAAATTCTGTAGCAGTCTAAGTAGACATGTCATGTGCTGCCTTGAATTGGGAAGGTAGTTTCTGCTATGTTGCTGTCAGTGGGATAACTGGATTCTTGTGTTTCAGATTGTATAGAGCTTACCAAAAGCTTTATGCTTCCATGCATGATAAAAGCATTGGACCCCACAAAACTCAGTTTAGACGAGATGAGAACTATGGTAAGAAAGTCCTTATTCTAATTAATTCTATTCTACATCATGCTAAGAAAGTCCTTATTCTAGTTAATTCTATTCTAAATCATGCAACTTCTAAGTTACAGGTGTGTGGATAGATTTCAGCTGTCAAAAACCTTCCTTCATGTTGCAGAATCCATAATCTTTTTGTGTGGACATTTTGTCCAAAACCTGAGGATTGATGATGGTGGACAAACTGTTAATTGAAACTGAAATTAGAACTAGATGCTAATAAGATGCAACCCTGAACCTATGCCCTTCACTAGAAGGTCGAGGGTTCAAGTTTTGCCACAGGCAAAAGACTCCCCCTCTCCTAAGCTGCAGCCAGTGTATTACCCAAAAAATGCAACCCTCAGAAAATGGTTAGTTATTTTGGATTTGGGTAGTGATATTTTAAGACACATGCTGATTGAATTGAGTTTCAAAATTGCGGTTCACATATCAATACTGTGGGTAAGACTTCATTTGTTTCACTAGAAGCCTGTGATTTGTGAAACACAATATAGCCGACACTTCATCAGATTACAAGAATGTATTGATTAAGCTTTGTGATCAACTTTGATAATCAGCTTCAGATTATGCAGTAGTCAATGTGTATATGTTGTAATCATGTTCTCATAGTTTCTTTTCTTTATGCTTACATTTATGAATGGGATTTTGACTGTAGGTTGTCTGAATATTTCTGTAAAATGTTTTTTTACCTTGTTTCAAGTAATTAGTTTTTTATTTTTTTATTTCAACATTTTGTAATAAACTATTCTTGATTATCTTTCTAAATTATATTATCCTCTTTGTATGGCAGTTTTACTCTGCTGGGTCACCCAGGATTTTGAACTCTATGCAGCATTTGATCCCCTGGCAGACAAGGTTTGTTTTTTAAGCTGATATATAAGAATGTTGTTATATAGCACCCTATTATATATTGAAATTGAACATAGATATAGCTCAACAGTTAATGTTGCAAGTTGCAACTATGTAATTGTGCAAATAGGGACATCAGCATTAAGATGTTACCTTCTACGCGTGCCTGCATGTGAGTCAGGCTGCCAAATGCTGCTAGATGTCCTTGTAGCAGTTTTTCATATATTGACAACATAAAGTATTTTTGAGAAATTGATCAAAACCCTAAACCCATAGAGAGATCAATGTACATATCATTTTCTTGTATGCTTGGTTGTGTACCTGTGTGCCGGTGTGTTTTGAAATTGCAGGCTGTGGCAATAAAGACTTGCAACCAGGTGTGTCAATGGGTGAAAGACGTGGAAAATGAAATTTTCTTGTTGGGAGCTAGCCCCTTTTCATGGTGACTCTCCCCCTCAGGCATCTTGTAACGCAAATATGTATTCTAGTTGTCTTTCTTGATAAGATCAAAGCCCAAATTTTTTTGATATGAATTGTATCCTCTCCCAGATCACCCATAAAATGGGAACTAAACTGGCTGTAGTTTACTTTTTCTTTTTTTTCTTTTTCTTTTTTTTGGGTTAAAATATGTTGTGTATTTGAATAGATATGAGTTTTCCCTCTTACACAGCGATGTGGTGCTAATTTCAGTAGTAATTTATTGATTTGTTCAAATCACTGTATGGAGTTCTCTATGCATTTAACCTGGTACTGTCAATTTTTGCTTGTAATTATAAATACAGTTCGACTATGCATTTAACCTGGTACTGTCAATTTTTGCTTGTAATTATAAATACAGTTCGAAAATTCAAAGCATATATATTCCACTATTTTATTTATATTTTTGTTATCAACTTTTGCAGCAAATTGGGTGAATGTGTGTACAGTAGTAAGATTCGAATTGAATTAATATACTAGCCTGCTCTCATTTTTGTTTTTGGGTAAATTTCACTGAGCTCTATTGAGGTTTAGAGAAAATATTATAAGTTTTACAAGTTTGACATAATTATATTGATTTTATTTTTATTAAAGTTAAAACGATCAAAATTAATGTAGATAGTATAAAGGCAAAACATACATAAGGTAAAATATCTATTTCAATGTAAAAGAGATATTTAAATTATTTTTTTATTGGTAAATTATATTTAATACCAATGTATTTTTATTAAAATTTCATTTTAATTCTCACTTTTAATTGTAACAATCAACCTTCTACATTTTTAGTCAAGTTGGAATTTTACACTTATTCATCTACTATCAACAAAATTGATGGAATTTGTCATTTGGAACATATGTGATATTCTTGTTGTCTCATTAGCATCCTTTGCACTTAATAAACTATTACTTTAATTTTCACATTCACTGAAATCTCACTTTAGTTCCTCTACTTCAATTTTTGTTAACTTTACTAACGGTAGATGGAGGGAAAGGTAAGATTAAAGCTTGATTTAAAGTATAAGAAATTGACTATTACAATTGAAAAAAGGACTAGTATTTACCTTTACTTTTTTTCTTAAAACCCCCACCTCGTTTATTTATTTATTTTTTTTATTTCAATTTTGTTCAAATACAAAATTTCATCTTTATTCTCATTTTTATATTCTAACACTAATTTGCCGAACCCTACCCTTAACCCTAATCTCATCCCCATCACCTTTGGCTCCAGTAATCACCATCATCTCGCAGCCCCTAATTGTCGCAACCATCACTCCCTTCGACGTCTTTCTGTTACGACCACCACCACCCTTAGTAGCCCCTCATCACTGCAACTACCACTCCCTCTATCACGACCATCACTACAACTACAACGACCCTTTCATCTAGGTTGCCTACCACTGCGATCACCTTTTCATTTGCGTTGCCTACCACCGTAACCCAACTTCCCATCCCATTCACCACGAGAAAGAGAGAGAGAAAGAGATAGAGAGAGGGGATGAAAACCTAGGGCTTTTAGATATAAAAGAATAAGGAGATGAAGAAAAACTGCCATCTCTGACCACCACGAGCCTTTTCCTTGTGCTATGACCTAGTTGTGCTGCCATGACCCAGTTTTGTCCCAACCACTATGCCTTCTTCCGTCCTTGACAGAGCATGAGCGAGAGCGAGAGAGAGAGAGAAAAAAAAAAAACTAGATCAGGAGAGAAACTTGCTTTATTCGGATTTAGGTCAGGCAAGTGCAAAAGAAATGGGAGATTTACCAATAAATCCTAAAATTTGAATTTATGAACCAATTGATCCCATTTTTATTCTATTAAACCGTTTAGTCCCATTTAATTGTGAGGGACGTAATTACCCTCATCTAACCGTTGCTGATGCAGCTGTCAGGCAGAAATTAGGTGAGACACGTGTGTCACTCACGTGCGTGATTAGTGAATGGATGTGTGGTGTGTTGCATGTGATACACTGGTAGGGTGTCACAGAATAGCAAAGCGCTGTAAGGGGTTTTTTATTGGGCTGGGTTGGTGTGTTTGGGGGTTAACACACAACACACACACTGATACACGGGACACACGCACACAGCTTCTCTTCGATCTGAGGTAAGACACACACAGGGGCTGGCATGGGCTCTCTCTTTCTCCTATCACACACAGATACACACATACATTGTGAGGGGCAGACAGACACACACACACACAAATACACACACACAGATACACACATACATTATAAGGGGCAGACACACACACACACAATAGCTAATCGATACGACGCCGTTGCTGACCGATCAGATCTTCCTGAGCCGCCGGTTCGTGCGCCGCCCGCCGAGCCTCCGCGGCAGTCGGAGAATGATGTGCGAGCCAGTTAAGGGTAAGAGAGGCGGCGGCGGAGCAGATCGAAGAGAGGCAGAGCGATTGGGCGTACTCGAAGTTGATCGTGATTTTGGATCTGTTGTGGAACTTCGTGTTCGTGTTCGTTGCTTTGTCGGTGTTGGTGGTGAGTCGGAAGGAGTCTCCGACGAAGCCTTTGAGACTTTGGATTGTTGGATATGCGTTGCAGTGTGTGCTTCACATGGTGTGTGTTTCGGGTGGAGTATAAGCGGATAGCACAGAGCCTTGATCGGGGAGACACACACAGGGCACTCTCGTCCACTGAGTAGCAGTTGGCTTTTTCTGGAATGCGGGCGTATCAAGATTATGACCAATTTTTGTTTTTGTAACCCACGAACGAATGAAGACGAAAACTTTTGGTTTTGATTTTGATTTATGTTATTTAAATTTGTGAGCAACATTATGTATGTATTATGCGACGTTATGTAGTGGCATAATTTTTATTGTTATGAATTTTTATTTATGTATTGCTATGAATGGAACAATATTATTAATTTTCATTATTTGTCAATTTTTGTTTATGTACGTATTTATATTATTCTGTAATTTTTCAATTTTTTTATAGTTATTTTTTTATCTAATACAGGTTATTTTAATTTTTTTAATAATTTTGCAGCAGGTTTTTTTTTTTTTTTTTTGAGACGGGAGAAGGACCCGTCGCAAAAAACCATAATAGGGTTTTGCGACGGCACCAAACAGTCGCAAAAGCTGTCCAGTTGGAATTAAAAGATACCTTTAGCGACGGTAACCATTGCCGTCGCCAATACTTATATGATGCCAGAGTTTTAGCGACGGTAATTCTGCCGTCTCAAAAACTGACTTTTAGCGACGGGAATTACTTGCCGTCGCGAACAATGATTTTTTTTCCACTATTGGCGACAAGAAAAGTACCGTCGCAAAAAACACACCTTACCGTCGCAGAAACTAATGGCTCCCAAGCTCATGTCCACCCAAACAAACATGGCCCAAATGTGGTAATTGACGGGGATAAACAATCTGTTATCCATTTGAGTGTCTAAGTGTCCCTCCATGCGATTGCGGTGCCTTGTTTAATGACATTAAAAGGATAGTAGCTCAAAGTAGTTTTTCTCTTCGATGGAGTCCGAGATCCTCAAATAAGGTGGCTCACTGGATTGCCAACGCTTGCCTTCATAACTGACTTCCTTTAGATTGGGTAACATACCCCCATTTTGCTTTATTACAGTTGCTTAGTTTCTCTGGGTAGGGAGTAGTTGTTTCCCTTGTTCTCCAAATTTCTTTGATAAAAAAAAAAGAGAGAGAAATATCAAGCCAAACCAAATCCAATTTGTTCAAAAATTTCTATATGTTCAAATATTTACTCTTTTTATGTCTCTCTCTCTCTCTCACACACACACACCCACACACACACACACACAGACACACACCCACGCACACACGCACACATCTGTACAAAAACATCATCAACGAGAACCAATCTTGTCTATTCATCAACAACAACAACATCATCACCAAATCTTATCTGTTCTTCATCATCATCGTCAATAACAACAACATCAAAAAATTGGAAAAAAAACAAAAAATCCGTATCTACAATACACAATAGAATCAAACTAATCCAAAATCACAACCAACCAAAGAAAATTAAAACATTAGATATGTAAAAAAAGAGAGAGATAATAGAAACCCTAAAAACCCTAACCTTAAACAGTCACCATTTTCAACTAGTCACATTTCCTAAAAACCCTAACCCTAGATATGTAAAAAACAGAGAGAGAAAATGGAAATAAAGAGAGAGAGAGAGAGAGAGAGAGAGAGAGAGAGAGAGCTTCTTTTGTATTGAAACAACAACAAAGACCACAAAGCCAAAACCCCTAGGCCTACCATTGGTCTTGTCCTGACCACCAGATCTAAATAACAAATGAGATGAACAATGGAAAATGTTCATCAAACTGCTAATTAGTTTTTCTGAATCATCAAACTATCTAGGAATTTAAATGTAGAATTACTAAAAACTTGCATTTACACTAACACCTAATATATATGAGTAATGTTGCACATCATGAAATAAATATCATGAAAAGTTTCATGAAACTAATCTAAGGGTGATTGCATAACATGCAATAAAATAATACAAACACTATAAACTAATCTAAGGGTGGAGAATTTTCATGAAGACTTTTCATGATGCTTCTTTCATGATACCTAGTATTATTGTGTATATATATATATATATATATTTTGAGAGAGAGAGAGAGTTATTTGACTCCATTGGTGCACCAATTTGAAATCCATACGTAGTTTGTAACTTGAGTTTCCAATTTCCCCAGATTAACGGTAAATCGTGCTTAGTTAAGCCTAACAATAATTTAGGAAGGATTTGGAACTAATTTGCATAAGCATTGCATATTTTTGTGTTTATATCTGTTAGGCGTAGAAATATCTGTTCATATTTTAGTTTTGAATTGCGAATTGAAAGCCTTATCGGCGCCCGATTTCGAAATTGACTTGATATATGTGCTAGTTAGGATTTATAGAATTTTATGGTAGGATAAGATCAAAGCCCAAATTTTTTTGATATGAATTGTATCCTCTCCCAGATCACCCATAAAATGGGAACTAAACTGGCTGTAGTTTACTTTTTCTTTTTTTTCTTTTTCTTTTTTTTGGGTTAAAATATGTTGTGTATTTGAATAGATATGAGTTTTCCCTCTTACACAGCGATGTGGTGCTAATTTCAGTAGTAATTTATTGATTTGTTCAAATCACTGTATGGAGTTCTCTATGCATTTAACCTGGTACTGTCAATTTTTGCTTGTAATTATAAATACAGTTCGAAGATTCAAAGCATATATATTCCACTATTTTATTTATATTTTTGTTATCAACTTTTGCAGCAAATTGGGTGAATGTGTGTACAGTAGTAAGACTCGAATTGAATTAATATACTAGCCTGCTCTCATTTTTGTTTTTGGGTAAATTTCACTCAGCTCTCTTGACGTTTAGAGAAAATATTATAAGTTTCACAAGTTTAACATAATTATATTGATTTTATTTTTATTGAAGTTAAAACGATCAAAATTAATGTAGATAGTATAAAGGCAAAACATACATAAGGTAAAATATCCATTTCAATGTAAAAGAGATATTTAAATTATTTTTTTATTGGTAAATTATATTTAATACCAATGTATTTTTATTAAAATTTCATTTTAATTCTCACTTTTAATTGTGCCTCTGTTTGGCAAGTTGATTTTCAGGCTTTTTTGGCTATTTTAGCCACAAAAAACAAAATAGGCTATTTTAGCCATAACAAACAAAACATCACATCCAACCTATAATCATTACATTTTTCTCTCACAAAAAAAGTCAAAAAAGCCAAAAAGTCAAAAAGCCCTTCCTAAACAAAGCTTTTTAGCCCAGGCTAAAATAGCCAAAAAAGTCAAAAAGCCAAAAAGCCAACCTACTTCCCAAACCAAGCCTGTAACAATCAACCTTCTACATTTTTAGTCAAGTTGGAATTTTACACTTATTCATCTACTATCAACAAAATTGATGGAATTTGTCATTTGGAACATACTTGATATTCTTGTTGTCTCATTAGCATCATTTGCACTTAATAAACTATTACTTTAATTTTCACATTCACTGAAATCTCACTTTAGTTCCTCTACATCAATTTTTGTTAACTTTACTAACGGTAGATGGAGGGAAAGGTAAGATTAAAGCTTGATTTAAAGTATAAGTAATTGACTATTACAATTGAAAAAAGGACTAGTATTTACCTTTACTTTTTTTCTTAAAACCCCCACCTCGTTTATTTATTTATTTATTTTATTTCAATTTTGTTCAAATACAAAATTTCATCTTTATTCTCATTTTTATATTCTAACACTAATTTGCCGAACCCTACCCTTAACCCTAATCTCATCCCCATCACCTTTGGCTCCAGTAATCACCATCATCTCGCAGCCCCTAATTGTCGCAACCATCACTCCCTTCGACGTCTTTCTGTTACGACCACCACCACCCTTAGTAGCCCCTCATCACTGCAACTACCACTCCCTCTATCACGACCATCACTACAACTACAACGACCCTTTCATCTAGGTTGCCTACCACTGCGATCACCTTTTCATCTGCGTTGCCTACCACCGTAACCCAACTTCCCATCCCATTCACCACGAGAAAGAGAGAGAGAAAGAGATAAAGAGAGCGGATGAAAACCTAGGGCTTTTAGATATAAAAGAATAAGGAGATGAAGAAAAACTGCCATCTCCGACCACCACGAGCCTTTTCCTTGTGCTATGACCTAGTTGTGTTGCCATGACCCAGTTTTGTCCCAACCACTATGCCTTCTTCCGTCCTTGACAGAGCATGAGCGAGAGAGAGAGAAAAAAAAAAAAACTAGATCAGGAGAGAAACTTGCTTTATTCGGATTTAGGTCAGGCAAGTGCAAAAGAAATGGGAGATTTACCAATAAATCCTAAAATTTGAATTTATGAACCAATTGATCCCATTTTTATTCTATTAAACCGTTTAGTCCCATTTAATTGTGAGGGACGTAATTACCCTCATCTAACCGTTGCTGATGCAGCTGTCGGGCAGAAATTAGGTGAGACACGTGTGTCACTCACGTGCGTGATTAGTGAATGGATGTGTGGTGTGTTGCATGTGATACACTGGTAGGGTGTCACAGAATGGCAAAGCGCTGTAAGGGGTTTTTTATTGGGCTGGGTTGGTGTGTTTGGGGGTTAACACACAACACACACACTGATACACGGGACACACGCACACAGCTTCTCTTCGATCTGAGGTAAGACACACACAGGGGCTGGCATGGGCTCTCTCTTTCTCCTATCACACACAGATACACACATACATTGTAAGGGGCAGACAGACACACACACACAAATACACACACATAGATACACACATACATTACAAGGGGCAGACACACACGCACACAATAGCTAATCGATACGACGCCGTTGCTGACCGATCAGATCTTCCTGAGCCGCCGGTTCGCGCGCCGCCCGCAGAGCCTCCGCGGCAGTCGGAGAATGATGTGCGAGCCAGTTAAGGGTAAGAGAGGCGGCGGCGGAGCAGATCGAAGAGAGGCAGAGCGATTGGGCGTACTCGAAGTCGATCGTGATTCTGGATCTGTTGTGGAACTTTGCGTTCGTGTTCGTTGCTTTGTCGGTGTTGGTGGTGAGTCGGAAGGAGTCTCCGACGAAGCCTTTGAGACTTTGGATTGTTGGATATGCGTTACAGTGTGTGCTTCACATGGTGTGTGTTTCGGGTGGAGTATAAGCGGATAACACAGAGCCTTGATCGGGGAGACACACACAGGGCACTCTCGTCCACACAGTAAAACAAAAATAAAAAAAAAAATCAAAAGGACCAAATAAACCCACCAACAGGACTATTTGGTATAATAGAATAAAAGTGGGACTATTTGGTATAACAGTTTGTGAAGTAGGATTTATTGGTAAATAATCCAAAAGAAAGATTGGGTCAAAAAAAAAAAAGGGGGGGGGAAATAAGGATAAAGGACATCGCGAACTCATAGCAATCGAAGGTTGGTCACCTACAGGTAAGGAATTGGGGAGTGGCTGTCAGTTGTGGGCTGCCAGAGTCGTGCTGGGTAGGATTTGGGTTAGGAGGGTGGGTTAGGGAGAGGGTATAGTTGGAATTAAGATGGGGTTCAAGAAAAAATGAAAGGAATTCATTTTGTTGGAGGGAGGTCTAAAGTGGGGGGTGTCCAAGTAAAAAGGTATGATTAAATAGTAGCCCTCATTAAAAATGAATGGATTAAATTGAGATTTTGGTAAAAATATAGAAGTATATACGATGAACAAATTTTTTTTATAAAAAGGGAATGAAGAGTTATATAAATTAAAATTTTGAGATAACTTATTTTGTTAAATTTATGGAGCTTATACATGTATGCAAAGCCTATGGTGTGCACCCTTTATGGGTGCATATTATATGTGCCTTATTATAATTTGATATAATTTTATTAAAAAAATTTGTAATATTTATTATAAAATATATAATTTCGTTACAAATTAATTTAATAAAAGGTCTAAAATTTTATAATTGATATTATAAAAAATTATGATTTAATTATAATATTTTTAATTATATTAATTTATAATAAAATTATAAATTTTATTGATATAATAAAATTATACTCCTTCCGTCTCAAAATATTGGTCCCTTTTGGGGAATCTAACTTTTTTTGGTAGTACACTTATTGCATTTGAAAAAAGTTAATTTTTCAAAATTATCCTTTTGATAGTATATTTTTTAGGAATATCAATGTCATAATTGTACTTTTTAAATTGTTTATTAATTTAAAAGAATGGCAAAATAGAAAATTTATATTATTTTTGTAGAGACTAATATTTTGAGACAATGAAAAATGAAATAAGAGACTAATATTTTGAGACGGAAGGAGTATCAATTTGTAATTAGGAGTGCACACCACAGGGTTTCTATTTTTCCGTCTGAATTAGGTACCATCAAACTTTTGTGGATCAAAATCCGAGGTTAAAAAATGTTGTTCCCCACAAACCATTCTTGCCGCGTTATACACAGTGGAGGTGGACCCTCAAATATGACTAAGCTCCACGTCATCCTTAACTCTCCGTTTGGATCCTTAAAAAAAATATATTGTACTTTCTCATCATTATATTTCAACAAAATAAATTTTAAAAAAAAGAGAGTGATTTCTCACCAATTTTATTTGGATGGAGTAAATAAAAAAAAAATATTGTATTTTATTTAATCAAAATAACATATCATATTAATAAGTTACTATGTTTTTTTTTCATTTATTTTGATATTTTAAAAAAAACTTATTAAACTCAATTCATTTATCACCAAATCTCATCACTTTTGGTGAGAAACAAAATATAAGTTTGATGAGAATTCTCTGAGGAAAAATGTTTGGTGACCTGAATTTTTGTGGGTCGAATGTATCAAAACGATATCATTTTACACTTAAAACGACGTCGTTTTAAGTGTTTTGAGCCATGATTTTTCGAGCCACCTAGCATTGTTGTTCTCTGAGTAATGCGACACATCATGAAATAAATATCATGAAAAACTTCATAAAACTAATCCAAGGGTGATTGAATAATATACAATAAAACACTACAAACACTTTAAACTAATCTAAGGGTGGAGAATTTTCATAAAGATTTTTCATGATATTTCTTTCATAATACTTAACATTATCAATTTTTTTATCACTATCTCTCATAATTTCTCACCTACTTAACCATCTAAACAAGTGAAAAACTTTCTATTTTTACCATTTATTTTCTTTTCTCACTAAACCCTTTTATCCAACGGAGTGTAAGTATCGATGCATAGGACAATTAATTTGAAATCAACTTATTCTAGCAAATTTTAAAATTAAGTTTAACTTGATTTTAATTTGGGTACTACTTGATTAAAATCCATTTGGGATATGTTCGTGAACCAAATTTATTACAAAAAAATGTCAAAAATCAAATATTGTATTAAATTTAAATAAAAAATGAGCACGATTATTTTTTGTCAGGTCATAGTTTTAGCTAAAAATCCATTTGATGGACCAAAACTCTTAATTTAAAATTTCAAATTATAAAAAATCCTACAAATTGTAAATCTAAAAATATTAACAAAAATGTTTGGGATCTTCTTTGAGGATGATCTCCACACTCCCAAAGTGATCCTGACCTTACATGTATGTGTGGAGTCCACTCATGTATGTGTGAAGTCAACATCATGAGTGATTTAGATTTGTGAAGTCTTGTGGGGGTAGGGGTCTCAACCATTGCTCAAATATTAAATACTATAATTATGAAAGTTAAATTACTTTAATAATCATATTTTATTCATTTCAGAAAATCAAAAAATCAAAAGGAAAATGTTTGGTGGCCTAAATTTTTGTGACTCAAATGGTTCAAATGTGTCAAAACGACGTCGTTTTAGGTGTTTTGAGCCATTCGAGTCATGATTTTTCAGGTCACCTAGCATTGTTGAAATAAAAAACGGTTCAATTGTTCTAGACTAGAGCAAGAAATTAGATAAATAATAATGA